ACTGACAAAGGATTATCCGAAAACATGGTAGACCCGTCGCTTAAAACCATAGAATAGAGTTGCGTAGTCGTGACTGTAGTAAGGTCGGAATATCCAAGGCCCGAGTCCGGACCAGTCCCGTTCAAGAATCCGGCAACGGAGTAATATGGGAAGGTGCCCTGACCTAGAGTCGACGAGGCAACACAAGAGCTCTGTAGATTTGAACTCCCGAGAGGCCTAATTTTGATCAATTAGTCTAAGATAAGACGAGGACACAAATTCCTTCTACCTGGAGTAGAATGGGACGCCGAAAAGAAGCTTAGCAGCGGGAAATCCAGCGGAGATGGCTTTTGTAAGTGTGCTTTGTATGATGGAGGGGTCATTTGCGTCTTGAGCAGTGGATGTGGGTTTCTGATGGGTGATTAACGATATGAATTCAGCTATTACGATATTTAGTTATATGCGAGAAACTGAAGAGCCAATAAGACCCACAGATGGATGCTAAGTTGGATGTAATCTTAAAAGCCATGTCAGAAAGGTAAGAGAGACGATAGAAACACCCTCATACCGTATTAACTCCAGAAAGGAACCTATCAGACCGCATGATACATTAGATTCAAGTGAATAAATTTAAAGTAAAAAATAAAGGCGTACCAGAAATCACGAGGTGTCGACAGTGACAGCAGCTTCGCACCAATTCCAGACTTGAGGGCGGAAGCAATGGTCGAAAACTGAGAGGCAGAAATACATTTCGTTCCCACACATGGAGTCCACTCAAGGTCAATGCCATCTGCTCCGACACTAGGGTAGTAGTTAGCAACACTTTGGTGGTATTGATCAAAGGAGACGCTGACCTTGTCAACAATGCAGCAGCTGTAGTACCGAATTTTGTACGTCCGGCGTTGGATGTTGCGATTGTGGCCAGGCCATTAGCGTCTGCGCCAAGGCCCCATCCACCAACTTAACAGGTAAATCAACTCTATTGATCAATTTAAATCAGAGATCTGAATTTTACCTCCGACAAAGATCTTAACATTAACAGAACGGCTCTTTAGAGCAACGATACTTTTAACCTGGTCCTGCTGCGCGGTAGTCAAAGAGACAGTTCCATCTGTGGCTAGTGTTGCATATGCATATATGACATGCTAGATTTCCCCTCAGTAATCAACAGGAGCGGCATCAGGTATTTGACCAACCGAATATGTAGAAGTGTCGATAGAGCTAACGCTCCATGGTTCGCATGATCTGGATGCGGATCTGTAACAGAGAATTCGTTCAGAAATAGTCATGAGATTTTGTGTTTTCACTCACGTCCCCAGATAGTACCCAACTGTCTTCGGAATTACGCTTCCAGCGCAGAAAACGCGTCCTTGAATGGCCGAAAAGGTTGTGATCCCAGTCGCATTCGTGACATCACGCAAGAATAGACTAGTATGAGAATCAGTAAACTGTCCGTTGACGCCAACATTTGGATCGCTCATGAAGCTGTCTTGCTCGTGGCCCTGCCAGTCAGCCAAAAGCGTTGAGCCTCCATTGTTCGAAAGATGTTGATAGCGGGTTCCCAGAGAGGTCAGACGGTCCCTATACGAGTCGTGATGCGATTTAAAGAAATATTAGACTTGAGATGCTTACCATCCGAATTGCCAAATCTTCGATGAGAGTGATCCGTCGCGGCTGAAGTACTGAATGATTATCAGCAAATGCACTATGGTGGAAGGAGCTGCGAATAACATACAGGAGTGTAGTCAGTTTGGCTTGATCCAGGTGTGAATGCCTAAATATCCGTTATTAAATGATAGCCTTGAATCGAGGCATGTTATTCAACCTTTATCATATAATTCCTGGAAAATGAGTATCGGTGAGCTGAACGAGAATAAACACAGAGAGGATTACCGGTAGAAGACGTTTTGAGGACCACTAGCACCGCTCCATTTGCTCGCTTTGTTTCCAGTTGACCTAAAGCACAATAAGATAATACAAAACATAGTGAGGTGTTCAAAATCACCAGTATACAGGAGCCCATGTACCGCCTTCTTGAGAGCCGCCTAGAATTTTATAACAATGATCAACTGCAACCATCACTATCGAATAATTAAATACCTTCACCACCGCAGTTCGAGAGGCAGCTAAAAGATCAGATGTTAATTTTGCGAAAGGTATCAATGAAACAGAAACTTGCCTTCCGGCTCTATGACTGTAAGGAACCGAGACGTAGTTCAGCTCTAGCAAATTATAGCCTTCATAACCTCCATGGAGATTCATGTCGTTAGTCATGTTTTGCATAGTCGCGACATTGCGCATCGCAGACCTGGCAACTTCCTGTCAGTAAGCTACGATGTAAAGTAATATATTCGGGTACCATTGGAACGTGAAGTGGCGCAGGTTCCTGCAAGCCAGCAGATTAGTCCCGCCTATATTCAGGAAGAAAAAGATTAAATTTTACCTGAGAGTGTTGTTGTAGTACAAGCTATCCCATACACGACTTCCTCGGAGGTAACCATTACCACCAGATCCCTAGAGGTCAATTAACGATCTGGGCAAGTACGGTTATTTGTCGAGATAAGCGTACTTTATTCCAAGATCCTACACGAAAAGAGTGAATTACCATTCAACAAGAAATGCCCCGAATGACTTACCATCAAAATAGTTGTCTTGGATCTGGATGTACCGAGCTACCTAGAAAAGAGAAGAAACTTCAAAAATGCCAACAGGACTTCGATATTGTGTAAATTACTTCAGTAGCAATTGGATGAGAACCCGTCATACTGTCGAGGGAATAGATCAGCATTGCCGAACGAACATAGAAAGAGATGTTCTTACAAGGTCCTGATGTTACGAACCCATGAATCGCGTGCGTAGCGGAAGACGATCCCCTAGCCACCAGGGTTAGAAATTACATCACCTACATGTCTAATTTGAACGTACATGCATTGCAGATTCCGGAGCCATGTTTCCGTAGTTTGCAGTAGCTGAAAACAGAAGGCATCAGTGAGAAAGTTGAATTCAGTAGAAATAATGCGCACCGTCATCGACAGAGAGCATTGGCATTGGTTGGGTCATATAGAGGTTCTCGATACCGACATGATGTACTGGCTCGTCGATGGGCATAACTTTTGCGAAATAAGTCTCGTCCTGCATCTGGACAGAGCCTCCACCAAGTGAGTTTGAATATACGTCGAATGCAAGGTCATGGTCTAGGAGAACATAAGTGCCTTGAGCGTCTGTTCCGCTTCCGGTGGCAGTGAACCAGTCCTACGAGAAATGAATAGAGCATTAGACAGGAATATTCATCGACGTACCTGAAACATATACTGATTCTGGTAGAAAGTTGGGTCTTGGACTTGCCAGGCATCATAATCGGCTGAACAAACGGGAGCGGCTGCAGCACCGAAATTCAGTAACCGAATATGATGTTATTAAACGTGAAATACTGACCGACCCAGATGTCAGTTCCAGGAGGAGCTGTCCACGAGCTGTTCTGTGCATCGATGTAGATCTTTCGCGTTCTGTAATGGGCCCTAGTTACAGGGTGCGTGAGAATGAAGTTGAATCGTACTGACCCAGCCAAGCCAGCGATTTCTTTCGTCTGATCGGACATGTAGCCTTTGACTTTCTATAAAGAACTGTGAGATCGATTTGTCACGACATTAGCAGGGACCGTACGGTGTCATTTCTGAAATATCGTCAGCATGTGTGCATGTATAATGATAAAGAGATCGCACCTCCAATGGTAGTTAACTGTTCCATAGAAGTAGTCCACGCGGTTGGGTGGAGCTAGAGACGCGGGTGTGGTGAACTTGCTGGCAATGCTCTTGCTTCCAACGCGGAAGATGGATCGTCCTGGCCAAAGCCTGCAACATCCTTTATAATAAGAAGTGCAAGAATTATTTTAGGGGCCTACCATCCACTGCTAGCACTTCCAGTAACTTGTCTGGTGCCTTCAGTGTAGTTCCAGTTGAAGTCCATGCCGTCAAGGTCCCACTGAGATGGTGTCAGCCGCTGTACAGCCGCGCTTTACTGAGTACTTACGCTAGCGCCATTTGGGGTGAGAGTGTCGTATTTAGTGTTTGCATCTGGGATGAAAGAGAGAACTGTGCCAGTTTGCGGATCGTTTCCAGCACCGCGAAGAATGAGATAATTAGAAGAGATAAAAATTGTGAACGAGAGATTGATGGTTCCGGCAGGCAATTGGATGAGGGTGAACGCGTTTGCAGATCCAGGGTTTTCTGAACACGTAGTAAACTCAATATAACGCGTCGTCTAAGCAACAAAAGTATATCCACCTGCGATTGCGCGCTGTAAACCTGCTGTGTCGTCCTGCCCATCATTGGGAATGACACCATAGCTTGAAGCGAGCTGAGCGGCGGTCACAGTCCTCGCTACTAGCGAGTCGTCTGGGATGGGGTTAATTCCCTTCTCGTATCCAACCTGGCTCCAGTCTGGAAGACCGGTGACAGGGGGTCGACGATTGGCGGCGGTCAAGTCGACCACCGCAGCCAATGATGGCGCAAGAATGAGAGAGAAAGAAAGGAGTGTGGTGAGCCTCATGAGGGCGGAGAAGTTGGTATTCAAAGGCGCGTCGCGCCTATTGTTTTATATGATTGTTGTGGTTGGAAATTGGAATCTTTGCAAGGATCGACCGGAGAAATAGTCTGTGATGATGAGAGCCCGTCCATGGCCGTTCCCGCTCTTGGCCGTTAAGCGATGATTAGATTAGACGCTCGAATAACAGATGCTTCTCGACTATTACGGACCGGAATAAATAGAATGATTTCCAACTCATGACTCATGAGTAGGTTGCCTGGTCCGACGCCTGGCTTGTAACTCATCGGCGCTTCGTGCTGCCACTGTGTTGGCTGTCATTGCTGCTATTAATGTGATATACCCAGCTGTATACTGATGCTGGTTGGTTTGATGAGAGACGGGACGGGATGCGATTCTATGAAATTACCACAGAAACATGTGTGATTGAGGATCACATAGCTAGACAAAACGTTTAATCTTTTCTGAAGTCATTAAATGCCTTCTTGGCTCAGTTGGTTAGAGCGCAGGTCTCATAGTCTTACTATGCGTGAGCATTGCTCATTAATCCTGAGGTCGTCAGTTCGAACCTGACAGAGGGCACACTTTTTTTCTTACCCAGCCTTATTTCGAGATCTAAAGTGTTACCATCAGACTCCAACCTTCTCACTCTCGTTTATGGGGTCTCAAAATGAAATGACACAATTAATCTGCAAATTTAATAAGTTATAGGACAAAACTAGCTAAAAGTTGAACAATACAAACCATCTGGCACACCTGCTCCTAAGTATCTCAATTATTCCTCTCTTATCCGACACACTTATTATTTCGACAATTTACAATTTACTTATTTCTCCGGCTTGGAAACATGCTGAACATATTCTGTATTTACTCGTAGTAGTTCCCTTTCCCTTTCATTATTTTTTTCGAGTATATAAAACTCTTAGATATTGTAGAAACATCTCAGTCAAATCCTATTCTAACTGTTAAGGTGAGCTACAACTTACGTACATATTGCTTGTGTCTTACTGGTTGATTGTCGCATCTTTATTTATTTCTCCGTTAGGCTTCCATTAGTACACGGCCAACCTAGTTCCGAATATAACGGATGATGCTTGTATAAAAGATAGATCCCTTTCAATGCTGGCCCTTTAGATCCTCGGAAAAATTACAAGACACAATTCTTTGAATTTGGCTCATCAAAGTAAGTGCTTCGGCATAAGGAAGAATTTGCTTGAATGCGCTGAAGCTGCTAATTGATAAGAAAATCGATTGAGCAATATCAGTTCCAAATCCAATCACTAAGCGAAGGGGGGTCATGTCGAGGCGCGCCTGACCCGTGCTAACGCGTGGCGGGAAAAACCAAACTCGTGTTTTGACAGGAGCTCTTCGTTGCGAGGGAGAAAATTTCGAGCATCGAGCGTCACTTCATCTCAATATCGAGGGAAATGATTCAAGAGCAATAGCCAGCTGGTAGGTAAGGCAGGTAGATGACTTTTGAAGGTAAAGAAGTGGGCGCGTAAAATTTTTGTAACGGCTAAGCTGGCTTCTTTTCGTGTTTGGATACAAATCGAGAGGAATTTCAAATTCCTAGAAAACAAACAATAAAGATCGAGGTATCAAATTGTAAAGAGAGCAAACATAAAGGTAGAATTTAAAAAAGGTCGAGGAAGCAAGAATTTGTTTTTGAAGAGAATAATTTTATGTCAATGTAGAAGCTGAATCAAGACGTCGATATAAGTCAAAGACAAGAAATAATAAAGGGCGTATAGATTAAATTAAGGGTGATAAGGATGATAAATTCAATTTGTTTTTGACTTTGCCAAGGATCCCGTCCCAAGTTAGCGCCTCTTCATTTCGTGCAGTCTTCCACGCCTCTTGACGATGGAGATACAAGTTCGCATTCTCCGTATCGCCTAACTGTGTGTATATCTCGGAAACGGTACACACGAGGAGAGGATAGTACGGAGTGGAAGTGAGGCCTTCATTTTCGAGAGACGAAAGGAGATCGAGGGAGGACTGCAGCATTTTGTTATCGCGTAGATGACGAGGTTTCCGAGCCCAGGTGTCATACTGGAGCCTGTTGTCGCATACTAGGCTGACGAGGTTCGTCCTGATGCGGTCGGATTTGGCGGTGTCTCCAGAACATGAAGCACAGGTGCATTCGAAGCCGTAGGGCGCGAGCTCTTGTTTACGACCAGCGGCAGAGAGGGAAACTTCAGCGTATGAATAAAACAATTGATCGCCAGGCTTGATGTCGCGAGTGGCGCGTAATTGGAATGAGAAGGATGCTACGTCAAAGGAATGTGTGGTGTTTGGACGACAACTGCAAAGGACATCAGTACAAAGACACAGGTAGCGACAGGACAAGAGATAAAGTTCGAACCTATGGTTAATGCGACTCATTTTATCGCATGTAGCTGAGTAACCGCCAGCGGTCACGCCACATTCCTTGTCGTAGAACCCATCTCCCAACCCAAACCCGTTCGTTCTGATTCTGCCTATAACGGGCCCGCTCCCGTCCTCGGTATGGCTATTCGTTAATGCGTAGAAGGCTTTGCGGTTCTCTGGGAACATTCGCTTCACACATATCTCCAAGTTTTTCTCCCATTCAAACAACGCCGCCTGAGAGTACTGTTCGTCGGTGAAGCCAGGGGGCTTACGGAAGTCAGCTCTGATTCCGACCGGTACAACGATGAGAGGTCGTTCAGATAAGATGAGGTCGCCCATCTTCAGCGAGCAAGTAGCGAACATTCCGAGCCCCATTCCGGGGGTGGGGCTGATTCGAAAATTGACTCGCTCTGGTTGAGGCGGGGCGCGACCGAATCCAGCAGTCTCGTGGATTTGGCGTTTGACAGAACTAGTAACGAAGCATTCGGACCAACCAATTGGCTCCTCGTCGTAAGTAGAGTCGAGACGGCGTATAGGCATGGTGGTGTAGAGAACTGTTCCTTCTGGGTGATCTAAGAACGCTGCCCCTGTCGGAATGATGCCTAACTGTGGTGCTTTATACCCCGTCGGACGTCCTGAAGAACTGGCAGTCAATCGTTTACTCTATATTCCCAACATCAGTTACACGGTGTACCTGCTTCCGCAACCCGCCCATAGGAGAGCTTCGCAAAGGGTGGTATAACGGGTGGCATAACGGATGGGGACTTGTCGTGCGCTAGAGGTGAGTATAGGATATCGGCACGCACGATCTTCATTTTGGAACGTTTAAAACTTACATGCATCGTGGACCTTGGGAGAGGTAGATGACAGAGCTTTCTTTCCTTTGCCGCTGTTCAAGAAGCCGCGCTTCATTGTAAAAAGCAAGCGATGGAAGGTAAATGAGAGAATATGGACGCACCTCCGAGAGTAGAGTGGGTCGTCGTTGAAGTGGGAACCTTCAAGAGGAAGATATGGATCGATCTATTTTATCTAGTTTCGGGGTGTCTTTGGAACAAAATCAAACGCAAACAGTCTGGGCCCCAAATCGCATCACCTTCTTTATTACAAACAATTATAACGCGTGGCGAACGAGACAAGCTCGTGTCGTGTCCGAAGATCCTGGGTTGCTGGGGAGGAAGGCGCGGTAACAGCCTGCAGGTAGAGAAGCACTGACGGGGAAGGACAAGATCGCAAAGCAAAGCATATTGGTACTCAGTAGCCCTTGGGTACCGCCTCGATATTCTGACCCTCCAACCATTCTCATTGTCTGCGATGGTGATCATAGCACTAAACCATCAACAAACATATAAGAGGGACAAGGATATTCCGGGAAGTGTCCTCAGAGCTTTGAGGTACGGTTGCAGCCTGATGCTGTATCATCAGTGTAGTACTAAGATATTGTAAGATCTTGTTCATAAGTTCGATACGCCGGGTGGGAGCAGCATATAGTTCGATACTGGGGCTGGCGACGAGGCAGGACCACTAGTATGTCGATGAAATCATACATCAGAATACATGAGCAACAGGAAACATTGCAGAAGCGTACTAGATTCCAGAACTTGAAGAAGAAAGTCAAAAGAGCAACGTTGTTTGGCTACGGTTGGCAGAAACTTTGAGGCTCGATGAACAAATCTTATCTTATCTCCACTCACGCGTAGTCACACTTCAACCGTGGGGCTGTCACGTCACACAACTCCTTTCATCCAGGCTCTCCTTCACCTTCCTGCGGCCGCAGCCCTCGTTCGGACTCTGCTCTCATTTCATATCATTTCGGAAGCTCGATAATACGCTTCACTTGCAAGATAGTCCAAAATTAGTTGGATAGGTCTTAGGGAAACAAGGCAGTGGCTGGAGAATGTCAACTTGCGAACCGGTACGTCACTATGTTTTCCGTCAACATACCGCTCATCTGACTGATTGATTCGCTATTATGGTATAGCATCATGATTGGTTCACTGCAACTCTTACTTTCGGGCTATGCGTTGGGCTTATTATCTCGTATTTGCCGCAGGTGTGCTTATTACCACACTCTTTCAAAGAACCAACCACTGATGTTAAGAATGAGCGCAGCATCTGCGTATCATAAATGCACGTTCTTCTGAAGGATTCTCACCCATTTTCCTCCTTCTTGGGAGCACGTCCAGTGCTGCCGGATTTTTGAATATGTACGTCTCGCTCTTGCCTTTGATCTATGCATTCTCTTCGACAAAATTTGCGTTACCGTGTTATTATTGTTCTTTGCCTTAGTTGACTTTACTTCGTGGACTGGACATGGGTCAGAGTTGATTCGTGGAGTGTATCCAACATATACATCGTTGTGATGTCTCGTGGCGATGAAAGTGGTAGACGGAATGCCAAGGGGCCTAAACCCTTGCATACGCTGCGGTTTACAGCTAGTTTCCCGTAGTTAGTCTCTTCCAGCCTGTCAAGCCTTACCACACAGCGCACACTGGCAGATCAGTGGTGCGAGCTCACTTAGGCTACTAGGTGAAATGTGGATTAGAAACTTATTCTGCTTCTACAAACTTTCATATTACATTTTTGCTGCACCTGCATGCTGGTGATACTTCCGTCATTGCGATCAATATGATCTTCTCATTCTCCTTCCTTCGCTTTTGCTTTTGCTCGTTCTTAATGCCTCAGCGATATGCTAACATGTTTCTCGATTTTAGGGTAACCATGCAATGGTCCATCGTACGATGCTGTCGCTTCTTCAGCTTTAGCAGCTGCCTGGAGGCTATAGCAGGCGTCATCCAAGTTGGGCTACAGTGGTTCCTCTTCAGCGTTGTGTAAGTTCCAGCTCTTTCTTCACCCTACTACCACGGTACATCGGCTAACCTACCTGTTTAGCTTCGTGTTATACATGATCTACTACCCTACACATCTCAAATACCTGCCTTCTTCTCTCGCGGAAGCCACCACCTCTATACCCATCCACCATCAGCTCGGCAAGAAGCCTGAGCGCCCGCGTAAGGCACCCGAATGGAAGCTTTCCATAGCCCTCGCTTGGGTGACTGCCGCCCACCTGCTCTTCATTACATTTGTTACCTTTTCCCTTCTCCTCACCAACACTCCGCCTGCAGGCGATTCCCAGCCGACCCCTCCAGTGTCTGGATCACCTGTACTTCCACACCAGATATCCTTGTGGGCTACGACCCTCGGTCTGTCATCTG